TCAAACTATGTGCTCAGGAACAGATTTAAAATAGTTTACATGATTTTCTGTACAGTATTCCTTTTCAGCGATCCTTACATAATTTCAGGAAGTTAAGGATGTAGAGCTCAATAAAAAAAACCTAGTCCAGTCCAGCAATGATTCTGAATTAGCATAGGGGTTTTTTTAGCATCAAAAATTATGTAGAAAAGTCTTGAATTTGTAGCTTTCCAATAACTTTTGATGACAATATTGATTGTTGCGGTTGTTATTTTGTTTTGTATCATCAGGGAGATGGTTCCAGAAAAATGCTCTAAATCTTAACCTGCAGAAAGCTTTGGAGCAGAAATATGGGGAAAAGAACAAAGGCAGCAAATCCTAAAAAGGCATAAAAGAGGCATATGAGCCCTGGTGAAAGTTATCTGCCTCTCCCTCGCAGTGAAATAAATCTCATTGCAGTCTCTGTCCTTAAATGTACTTATCTATATTGATAACACTACAAGTAAGTTCAATTCAGTTGAACAGGGAAAGTCTGTTTGTCTTACTACTGACACTTTATAGACACTTGATTACACAAATCAGCATATAAAGTTTTCAAAGTACAGAATTAGATCACTATTTGCTCATTTCAAGAGGCAACCAAATGTACTGTTCATGGATCCAGTTTAAAACTTGATGACTTTTCGTTAGTCAAGTAACGATGAAAGCTTTGCAAAAATGTTATACAGAAGATATAGACTTCTTTTTAATTGCACATTAAAAATATCATAAAAAGAATTGGATAGTTCTGGGGTAGTTGATATCCTAAATAATCAGCCCAACTGCAGGCTATATCTGCATAGGGAAGTCCAATCTTTATTGATAGAAGTGGATGTGGTATGAAAACAATGCAGTAGTGCCCAAAATATTGCCTCTGCAATGAGGACGTTTTCCATAGTAAAGTATGTTTTTGCAGGGTAAAGTTTTTATTAACAAAATTCATTGCAAAGACAATAATTATTGATTTCTTCCCAGCAGGCATTTTCCTTCTAATAAGAGTTTGCATTGTTGAAAATAATATGAAAGAAATCCAATGGCTGTTATATATCAAAAACAAAGTCAGATTGTCATGTTAAAAATCCATACTTGCACTTTCTCCTGTATCTTCTATGGAGCAGACTGGATGGCCTTCCCTTTCAGGCAGGAAGCCTAGTTTCCTTCTCTCTCCAACTTTGGCAGTGTATATATTTGACATCAGTTTGTTTTCTTTTGATTATGTAAAAGATAATCCTTCCATAGCACAAAAGATAATGAGATTATGTATTCAAGGGCCAGGGGGAAGTTATTGAGGAACATGTTTCACATGTCTTGGCAGGTCTGGGAAGTGACCTGTAGTTTACTGTCAGCAAATTTTGTCTCCAAAGGGGATTTGGTGACTTTTTGAAAGATTTCTGAAGGCTGGTGGCCCATAGGTGCTCCTTGACCCTTGCAGTCTCCCTTGGTCTTAGAGCCAGGAAAGAAACAGTATTCACCTTCTTGATGTAAGAAAACAGGGCTTCTGCCTCCAACATTGAATATTAGAATGTCCTGCTTAGATTCCTCCATGGCAAAAAGTAATCCCTCCTTTGACACAGAACCTGAGGTAGCAGAAAAGTTCATAAGATAGTCACTAGATTCTTCCTGGGATATTGCTGTGGGATCACCAGTACCTTGATCCATAGCTGGGAGGATTGATTTTGATCTATTTTGACATAACTCTGCATTTGAGAGATTTTCACTAGTTTTGGGCATGTGTGCAGAAACTGCTGCTGTATTAGCACAAGAAAGCATCCCTTCCTCTGAGGGCAGCTCAGGTAATGGCAATAAACATCCCTTTTCTTTGCTTATTGATAGATCTACTGTAGTAATGTAATCTAGTGGCAAATTTTGACAGTGGCTATTTGAGCTGGAAAGACACCCTGTAGTTTTCTCGTTCTTCAACTGTCCACTTGTCTCCTGGATTTGAGTTGGTTCTTGTTCAGTAGGAAATGACAACTTCTCTTCCACCTGCTGATGTACATTAGACAATAAAGTATTTTCCTTTCCCGCTTCTGGCTGTTGCTGAAGAAACAAAGAAGGCTGTAATCCCATAGACTGCAAAGATACTGACGCTTCCTTCAATTCTGAAGGAGTAACTTTCAAATCCTGCTGAATTGTACGTGCAACAAACTCTGCAGAGGAATATATGTATGGGCCATTAAAATCAAATATTTCTGTATTGGGATTAGTACAAATCTGGACAGTGTTGTCTTTGTTGAGAGGCTCTGTCTTTTTCGTATTCTGAGACCAAAGCAACTGTGGCGTTTTCTTTAACCCATCTTCAATAGCTGCTAGGCTGCCAATCAGTAATTCTCTGTAACAGGGAAGAAAGTAACCAAAGGACAATTATCATTTATAAAAAGAGCCTCAAGTAGAACACATCAAGGCTTAGATGAGAAAGAAATGGCAGGTGGGACTATAGAAAATGTCTTTAAGAGAGAGAATTAAATGATACTTTGTACAGGTAGTCCTCGACTTACAACAGTTTAGTGATCGTTCAAAGTTACAACAAAACTGAAAAAAGTGATTTACGACTATTTTTCACACTTACGACCATTTACAAATTCAGGTGCTTGAAAACAGAATCATAGTTATGATGATTGCAATGTCCTGAGGTCATGTGATCCCCTCTTGGTACCTCTGACAAGCAAAGTCAATGGGGAATCCAGATTCACTTAACAACAGTATTACTAAAACTGCAGTAATTCACTTAACTCACTTAACAAACATCTCACTTAGCAACAGAAATTTTGGGCTCAATTGTGGTCAAAAATCGAGGAGTTCCTGTGTTTAAAACTACGCCAAAGTCTTCTGGTTTCCTGGAAGTTTGCATTTTCTACCATCATTAAGCAAATCCATGTTATCCAGTTTTGCCACAAACTGGAAGAAAATGCTGGAAACCAGCAAAAAACATCAAAAACCACACTACCCTGGGGTGTTGCAGATGGCCATGAAGTTGAGCAGGTTGCCAAGTGGCCCCAAATTATCCCCCTGACTGCAGGCAGTGTGGCTGTCATAACTTCAAAATTAAGTCATAGGTAGCTTTGGGAGGTGGGTCCATCATAAGTTCGAACATTCATTTAGCGTCCAGTCGTAAGTTAAGGACTACCTCAACCACAATTGAGCCCAAAATTTCTGTTCTTAAATGAGACACTTGTTAAGTGAATTTTACCCCATTTTAAAGCTTTCTTGGCATAGTTGTTAAGTAAATCACTGCAGTTAGTATATTAGTAATGTGGTTGTTAAGTGAATCTGACTTCCCCACATGACCTTGGGACACAGCAACAGTCATAAATATGAACCAGTTGCCAAACATCTGGATTTTGATCACACAATCATGGGTGGCTGGAAAGGTGGTAACCTTGAAAAACAGTCATAAATCTCATTTTTCAGTGCTGCTGTAACTTTGAACAGTCACTATATCAGTGGTGGTATTCGACCAGTTCTGCCTGGTTCTGGAGAGCCGGTAGGAGAGATTAGCAGCAAAGACTGAACCAGTTCTCTCCGCTGCTCTAATGGCTCTGCTGCCCACCCACCCGCTAAGGCTCCCATACTCACCTTTATCCACTGAATTTGAAGCGCAGCTGCTTGGCGTGGCACAGAAGAGTGCCACGTGGCAGCTGCTGAAGCAACCGGAATTGTGCAGGCTTGCAGGAGGTGAGTTGGAATGCCTCTCTGCCTGCGCAAATACCTCTGCACGTGCTCAAAGTACACGTTTGGCATACAGGTGCACGCAAAGTGTGTGCATGTGCGCAAAGCCATGCCCACCAAGCCACGTCCACCGGCAACAATATTTGAACCCCACCACTGCACTATATGAACTATTCTAAGTTGAGGACCACCTGTATATGACTATCCAACATTCATTGCGATAGTAACAGTGGTTTTTTACTTCTCCTTCATGGACTAGAACTTGCCCCCAAAACTTCCTAGGTTTGTGATGATGCCCAGCCTTTCCAAAATGTCAAACTGATGCACCAGTATCATGAATTTTTGGGACCTGTTCATAGAGAAAAATAAAGTTTCTGTGCTGGATGGAATCATTGCATTACTATATAGTATTTCTTCAGAAATCAGTTTCATGAATTTATGGTCAAATTACTCTTTTGTTTTATTTTTTTACAATTTCATAATCTTTCTCATTGGCTGAATTTAAGATCCAATCTACAGTGTTTTTGCTTTGTTTAAGCTCAACACTGTAATCTCTGGCTCCTCCATAAGCAAGCAGCCTAATTCATTCTCCTGGTTATATTTTTCTTGTAATATTTGATGCTTCTCTATAAACATTTACAACTTTTTTTTTCAAAGGGACTGCAGCTTCTATGGACTGCTAAGTAAACTGTCAGTCTTGCAGTATTCCTAGATAGATTTGTTTCAGAGTCCAACTGCCTGCTTGGAAGTGTAAAGTGCAAACCATTAGTAACTCTATGAATCTACAAAACAGAGTTTTGCAAAACTCACCTGGTCAGAAACCTCAGCAGGCAAAAAAGTATTGACTTTCTTACTGAAAAGTTACTCGAGATGTACAAATACAAAAACATAAGCCTGTCTGCAAATGCCATAATTTTCCGTTTTCAATTTCACTTCTTTACAAATCTGAACACTAAATAAAATTATACGACTTTTTAAAAATGGAAGCAATTAGAATCCACAAAGGATATGTTCTGATATGATTAAAAAACATTTGGCCTTTCTTGTACATTCCTAATATTTTGGTTTTGGCGTCAGTTTCAGATTTTTATATACAGTAATAATTAAAAATATATTTATTGTGACTTCAAAATTCATTGAATTTTGGGGAAATACTGTGAGTGAAATTCTTTCCACATATGAAGCATAAATCCTGCCTAGCATGCATCCTGTTTAAATCCTAGTTGTTAATAGCAAAAGCATTTAGACTTATATACCACTTCATAGTGCTTTCCAGCCCTCTCTTAGCAGCTTACAGAGTCAGCATATTGCCTCCAACATTTGGAAGGATGGAAGGCTGAGTCAATCTTGAGCCAGTCAGGATCAAACTACTGACAGTGGCAGAGTTAGCCTGCAATACTGCATTCTAACTACTCTGCTACTATGGCTCTTTAAATGAATAAATTTAGGCTTTCATAGCTTAATCTGAGCTCTAATTTCCTCTCTTTGGACTCATGATGTGTTGATCATTAATTAGCTTCACACCAAACACAATACTAGGAATTTCTGAGTTAATACAGTAATTCACTTCCTTTATAGTTTTGTGAAAATGCTTTGACCTGGACTTCCAATAGTGTGAACCTCAGCTTTTTATACTCACCTCTCCAGTTTACTGGAATGGTGGATTTCTTCCTTTGCTAAAGCACTGGTATCTTCTGAATGGTTTGCCAACTGCACTTTCTAAAAAGAAACAAGAATAGGTTGCAGCCCAGTCTAGATTAAAATGCTAAAAGAAAGAGAGGTTCAAAAAGACCTGTACACAGAACACATTTGTAATACTGATTCCGGTTTTGACCACCACAATATGAAAAAGATGTTGAGACTTTTTAAAGATTGCAGAGAAGAGCAACTAAGATGATTAGGGGGCTAGAGACTAATGAACAGTTGCAAGAACTGGGTATGATGAAGAAAAGGATTAGGGGGAGATATGATTGCAGTCTTCCAATATTTGAAGGGCTGTCACGTGGAAAAGCCAACATTCTCTGAAGCACCTGAGAGCAGGAAAAGCAGTAACAGATAGAAATTTATCAAAGCAAGATCCAACCTAGTCTTAAGGAGAAATTTTCTGACAGAACAATTAATCAGTAGAATGGCTTGGCTCTTTCACAAAAGGTTTTTAAGAAGACATCGGACAGCCATTTGTTTGGAATATTATAGGGTCC